AGTTCGGACTGCTGGTTTCTTCCCTTTGGTGTTTGCACCCTGGGTACGTTGCTTTAAGTGCCGAGCTACTTGTTTTTTGCCACGTGGCGTGATTGCGAGGTCGGGCCAAATCTTCCTTCATCACTTACCTCATTTATAAGGTCTACCACAGTGGAAACAGGAAGCAATGGAAATCTTCACTTAGCTGATCAAAGCAGAATAATGGCTGTAACCCTGTTAAAGATGCTATTTGATGAAAACAGCATGAAAAAAACTCAATAATAAACAATTTGCATCTACTCAAGATGCTTTTATCCAACCCCGCAAGATGCTTATCTGCTTGGTGGTGTATCAATAATCTATTGACCTTTCTGAAGATGGTAAACACAGTGGAGTGACACAGAAAGCAATGGAAATCTTCACTTTGCTGATCAAAGCAAGTCAGCTCTCCAATTTCTAGAAAGATCCAGGCCTGAAGAAGCTTCAATCCCATTATAGCACCAGTCTCTTCTTGCAACTGGCAACCACTTCCAATTCTCAAACCACGGTTCAGTTCTTACAACTGCTGGTTGTCTTCGGATAAACATCCAAGATGGCTCAAAACCTGATACAATTGGATAATGGTGAAGTGCCACACTTTTTTCTTTCCTCAATTGCAGCCAGTCTGACGTAACACAAGACCCACAAAGCTTATATACTGGCATTTCAAAAGACCATCCTACTGGAATTCCACAATTCCTGGTAAAGGAGTATGCAATCAACACCCTAGTAGCCATTCTCACCAGTTCACCACAGGTTATAAAGATCGACTGCTAATCATTAACCTCCTTCCTACTAAGGATATCATCATTGATGAGATGCTCTGCAAACCTTATGCTCTAAAAGCCACTCAAGAAATGACCAGCACTGCCAACAATGAGGATGGCACAATTAAGGCACCAGTTGACCAGGTCCCTACACAGAACCTACCAAGCCTGAGATTCAGATGCAAGTAAGCCAGCTTGAACTATAACCAGTATTGGTACCTCTCACCTCTAAGCCTAAGGGCAACTCAATCACTAACAGACTTCAATTATACTTGCTCATCTATGGCAACCAACCAACCTGTCGATCAATGATGCTCCCGTCATGGCTAAACAGGAAAGGACATTCATGCTAATGCTATGAGTAACTGATGTTTTTAGTGGTGCTTAGTCTTAGCACTACAGAATAGCCTATGCTACATCCATGGTTTTACCTGTTTTGGCTACTAAAGACGTGATGCAGTAACAATTGGTGTAAAAACTGACACAGTGGTGCAGTAGAGGCAGCTCTAATGACAACCACGATCTTTCTACAGTACAAACACATGCAGATGCTGCCTTAGTGGATGGCCAAAAGCTGGTGACAATTCTAGATGTGCTTGAGAAGGTTTTCCTTATCTGCATAAGAAAAAGCATTCGACCTGTTCGAGTATATTTTAGAGCATAATGAGATCACATATCCAATACCCCAGAGGTCCACAAGCATCCTTGTCCACCTTCTATCTGACAACAAACTCAAGAAGAAAGCTGCTTTGGTGCTCAGACAGATGAATCTCATCCCAGAACAATCCTCCTACTTCTTAACTGGTTGTACTTGGTAAAGGAAAAAAGATCATGACAATTATTGATTTAAGAGACTAGGACATGACAAGGGTTCCTAGAAAGCATCCAATTGACACTGCCCAAAATTTGAAGGCTGTTATAATTATCTGAATTCTTCCTACCTCTAAAATATTAGGTCTGTATCCAGTCCACCCCTCCCAAGACCCCAGATAGCTGGGACCAACATTGGGTAATGGCCTTTTTATATATAACAACATTTACTTGATTGATTATTCTACTAAAAGATTTATTATTTTTCAAATCAAAGAAGCTGAAAAAACTTGAACATCATGGGAAAGAATTTACAAGAGAGCTTTAGTTCAGTAGAAAATTAAATACATCTCTCAATGAGATAATGCCTTCCACGCGCTTGCTACCAGCTTCAATGACAATGAGCCGCCGCACCGCTGAAAGAGAGCACAAAGATGTTAGTTCCAAGACAACAAAAAATCCCACTCTATAAGCATATGTCAAATACCTGCATGGACATCACATACAGATATTACAAACTTAAAGGCGCACCTGGATCTGAGAGACGTTCCATAACATCATGAAGAGAATCAGAACGTAAACATGTTTGGCATCGTTTGTGGGCATAAGTGGCATCAGTTGCTTTGTATACCAGTTCCAGAGCCTGAAATCAAATTAAATTGCTAATTCAAAACCTTCCATAGGATTTAGATGGAGAGAAAATTTTGGTTCTTTAGATTTTAGGCAGCAACCTAAAAATTTTAGCTTTTTTTCCTGATCAGTAAACTTGAACTTTATATTGCTTGTAACAATATGTTACAAAAGAAGTGTACAATGATTTATCATATGATATTATACAATGGAATGGTTCACATAGTTTTCAAGGTGCCAAGGCAAGGATAGGCAACAGGGGGGGGGGGGGGGTGCCTTGTTGCCTAGTTGCCTAGCCACCCGCCTAGGCGATGGGTTTTCTTTTTAAGTAAAAACAACATATCCTAGGGTAGTTCCCTAGGTTCCATAACCATCTTTCATTAATAACTATCCATGATTTTCATAAGAAAATTATAAACTTCATGTTTAAGTCTAGAAAATCATCATATTTATGAGAAGAAAAAGAAAGAAAAGAAAATTCAAAAAATATAGGGGCTGAACCACTATTTTTGTTATAGGAAAAGAAGAAAAGAAAAGGTGGAAGAAGAAGTCCTTGAGGGTTCAGATTTTGAAGTCTTTGAGGGCTCAATACAGCACTTAGCAATGTTTGTATTGATTAAACCCTAACAAATAAGAAAATAATAAGAAGAAATTAGTTTATAAACCCAAAAAATGAATATTTTTGTTTAATAATGTCTATTTTATTATTATAATCTCAAAATAATAATAATAATATAAAAGTATTTTATAAGACAATATACAAAACTGCTTTGCGACTGGGCAAGGTGAGCCTCCAAGGGCACCTTTGTTACGGTCTGACACAGGCTTAGCCTTGCCTACGCTTGGCAGGCTTACGTTAAGGGACATCACCGTCATTTTCGCCTGTAAGATTTTTGGGAGAATTGATGTTATCTTCAGGTAGACCACCAAAAGCTTAACGTACTCTTTGAGGAGGGGTGGTCGACCTCCTTGGGTGCCTAACCTTGGCACTCCTAGACCAACTTCCCTTGCAGGGCGGCCCTGGTTAATGGCTAGCATGGCTACCAGGGTTCCTCATGGGCGCACACTTGCTCATGGGGACAGTGCATGGACCGACACTGCGCTACTGACACTCAAGGGAGGCTTGGCATGCGGGTTTGGCTCAAGCATGACCCTTCACCACGCCAGCCCCTTGCCCAAGCTGATCGAGCTATCCCGTTGCCCCTTGTACACGGGTGTGTTCCGGCCCAAGCGGTTGCCTCTCATCATGGCACATAGGTGCCCGCATCATCGGCGTACAGGAGACCCTTCACATCGGTGCCAAGTCACCTCTCTTCGGTGCACAGACGCCTCACATCATGGCCATCCCCCCTTAGCACGTAAGTGGCGCCTCCCATGGACCGACTAGAGCCAGCCGAGTGCCCCAGCCATGCGACTTGAGGTCATGATCCAGTGCTACTGACCTTGGTGGAGCCATCTCATCGGGCAACTCCTAGCCTCCAAGCACACAAAGGCTTGTCTTGGCCTGCCTTGGCCTGAACGCCGCACAGGTTTCTTCCGCTGTAGAACTACCCCCGTGACACCTTGCTGCCTAGGAGTCGCCTTGACAACTATGTGCCTCAGCACCCCAAACTTGATAGATCAAACTATCTACCATGCCCACAAAACCACACACACACACTCAATCCCCTAAAAGACAGAATCCCAAAATAGTTGCCTTATGTGAACACCTTGCCTAGCTAGAGCATCTGCAAGGCTCTATGCAGATTGCTTCACCCACTTAAAGTTTACTTCCAAATGCCTTATCAATTGCTGCAACTCTCTCAAAGTATTCCTGTATCTCCAAGGGACCATCTTTTTCTTTCTTTTAATCATCTCACTATCACCTTGGGAATGGCTTCAGTAACCATGTTATCCAAATTGAGTATTTTAGCCAATTCCATTCCCAGAGAGCTGCTATCAGTTCTGTCCAAATATATGTATAATATATGCCCTTCACAGTCTCTAAGAACTTCCCCAATTCTAGACTGCCTTGGGATAACCAAGCTGCAACCATCAGAGTTCATCTTTACAAAGCCTTGTAGGGGTGTGGTTCATTCCATGCAAATATTGTTCCTTAACAAAGATGCATTAGCCACTACATATCCACTTCTGATAACATCAATAGTTGCAAAATGTGTGAATATATCCATAGTCTTCACCCAATGAGAGAAATGAACAGATCGTTTCATCTCCAAGCCTTGCAGCAAGCTTTGTACCATCTTTCCAGCTGCATATTTTGAGTGTGCTGATTCTTTAATGAATTTATTGGAACCTCACCCTTTGAATTCCATAGAATCCAAAAACAGCTCTTATACTTGTGATACAACAGTTTAGGACATCTAAATGCTCAACGGGGAGACAAGAGTTGGTTAGTTGCCATATAAGAGTTGCAGAGATTTATTTATTTAGAATTCTGCGATACCATATTCTTAAGACATTGCCCTTTAACCTATGACCAAACAATTGATGTCAGACCTAGTTGCATGACCAATAATAACTTCTAATACCATAATTTATGAAAGTAAAGCAAAAGTTTCATATGGAGATTCAAAGAGCCATATGGCAGGTTCATCATCCAAATCTAGAAAAGCATCTTATCCAATATTCCTCCTTATGTTACCACCAACCATTTCCTATAATGCAGCTATGTTAATTCAGGGAAAACTATGGAAAAATCAGCAATTGCATGCCCAATAGCTAAATACAGCTACAGGAATATCAAAATAACAAACTAATAACTGAGTCGACGATATGCACTCACTTCACGCAAACTTGTTTGATCCAGGCGGATATGAGCATACACACTGTTGTTAGCCAATGAGGTAATATCACTGCACATCCAAGTTTTTGTCAACCCAAATTTGATATCTGAACAAAATGATAAGACTAGATGCAAACTAATGAGAAAATACCTCCGAGTGTATACATCGATAAGAGACCCCTTTTCATCAACAACGGGTATGGAACTTATTTGAGCTGGAAAAGAAATATATAGGGTGTGAAGTTGATGTATTGTAATTAAACTACAATATAAAAAAATGCTTATCTTAATTGTTGAAATATAGACTCAGTTTGGAAAGAGTACAAATGCAAATATGTACATGCAAATACATACAAGACAATACAAAACATAAGATTTTGCACTCTACATGTTTGCATTTGTACTCCTTCCAAACTGAGCCATAATGAAAAACTTACTGATGCTGACAATAAAAGAATTCAATAAACAAAATGTAAAGCAAAATCTGGATTCCTCTCATAATCCCAAGTGAGGGATGTACATTAAAAACAAGGTAAAGTCGAGAAATTATAAGATTCCAAACACCTAACATGCTAAATCCTTCAGAGTGGCACGGTAAAAGACTCCATAGGACAAAGACTTGGAGTAATTGGTGAGTTTTCGAAAAGATGGGAGTACCAAATATGCATGTAAGACTAATAAAGGACATGTACTCGAGTGTAAAAACCAATGTTAGAACACCTAGGGGAGAGACATCAGAATTTCCAATACACTCCTCATTTATTTGCACTAGTCATGGATGAATTCATTAAACTATGCAAGAGTAGGAGTAGCTCCAATAGGTGATAAAGTAGGAGAAAGTGACCCCAATAAGTGATAAAATGAGAGCAAATAAGACTCTTATGGCAACCTGTGACAGACAGAATAGATCAAAGGCTGGTGGGTTGGAAAGGAAAATTTCTCTCCTTTGCTGGGAAAATTACCTTGATAAAAAGTGTTCTTTCTAACTTGCCAATCTACTACCTATCTTTGTTGAAGGCTCCAGCGGCAGTGGTGGGGGAGATAGAAAGAATCTAAAAGGAGTTTTTGTGGAGTGTGAGGGCTGAAAGAAAGAAAATACATTTGGTTAAGTGGGAGGTGGTATGCAAGCCTAAAAAAGAAGGGGGTCTTGGGGTGAGAAGGGTGGGGGTCTTTAACAAAGCTTTGTTCAGAAAGTGGGTGTGGAGATTTGGAAGAGAGAGGGAGGCACTGTGGAGGAGAGTAGTGGCTGGTAAATAAGGGGTGGTGAATTTCAGGTGGGATTCAAAGGAAGTAAGACACTCTTATGGGGTCTGTGTATGGAAAGGGATGATGAGTTTCAATTCTTTGATGGGTCCCCATTATTCTTGGAGAGTGGGGAGTGGGTCTAGCATTAGGTTCTGGGAGGATGATTGGTCTGGAATAGGGTACTTTTGTGAGATCTGTCCAAGGTTGTACAGGTTGGGTCAGAAGGGAGTACCTATTTCTAAATGTTATGAAGTCTCAAATGGTTCAGTGGTGTGGACTCCAAACTTCAGAAGGCCACTCCTCAACAGGAAGCTGGAGGAATGTGTGGATCTGTTATCAAAATTGCAATCTTTGGAAACCAGTGCCCCCAAGAGTGGAAGCCTTTGCATGGCTGATAGCTAGGGGGAGGGGGGGGGGTGTATTCTGACTCAGGACATCCTAAAGAGTCGAGATTTTCAATTTCCAAGCAGATGTGCCCTGTGTTTATCTGGAGAAGAAAATATTATGCATTTGTTCTACCGTTGCAGTTTCATTTCCCCAATATGGTTTTACTTCAAGCTGCTTAAAATGGATATGTGGTCGATTTCAGATCAGTCTGAAATTTTTGGACATTGGCCAAGAATTCAGGGTGCTTCTAAGGTCAGGCTGATGTGGAGTTGCATTCCATTTGTGGTGTGCTGGGAAGTTTGTAAGGAAAGAAAAAGAAGAGAAGTTTGGAAGAGGTGGTGGCTCGGATCAGAGCTCATCAGTAATTGGTTGGGTGTTGATCCTGCCAGAATTTCAAGGCTTAAAGAAAGAAGACTTTGGGGCAGACTTCTGGAGTTCTTTGAATTCTTAAAATTCTGGGTTTCTGTTGTATCTTTGCTTTAAAGTTTGTTATCTGCTTTTTCTGGTTCCTTTTGGTTTGGCGGTGACCTATTGCCACCTTTTTTTATGATATCATCCACGTACAACTATCAACACAGCCACTTGTTTCTAACATATCTTCACAAAGAGAGTGTGATCAGATTGCCATTGTTTGAACCCTACTTGCTGAACTGCCATATGAAATTTACTGAACCATGCTCTAAGAGATTGTTTTAAGCCATAGACGGACTTTCTTAGCTTGCACACCTTATTTTCACTTCCTTTGGCATAGAAACCTGGGGGTTGAACCATGTACACTTCCTCCTCCAGATCACCATTTAAAAAGGCATTCTTTATATCGAGTTGATGCAATTCCCAATCAAGGTTTGTAGTGAATGATAAAAGAACTCGATTTGAGTTCATCTTAACCACTGGAGCAAACATCTCATCATAGTCAACACCATAGACTTGAGTGTATCCTTTAACTACCAGCCTTGCTTTGTACCTTTCAACTGTCCCGTCTGCCTTGTATTTCATTGTAAACACCCACTTACACCCCACTTGGTCTTTCCCTTTTGGAAGATCCATCAACTCCCATGTTTGATTCTTATGGAGGGCATTAATCTCTTCCTTCACAGCATCTATCCATTTAGGATATTATAAAGCCTCTACCACATTTCTGGGTATGAGGATGCTATCAACTACAAATAGGAAGGCACGGTGAGAGGTGTAAATGTGGTCATAGGAAACATACTGGGTAATGGGGTGTTTGGTAGTGCATGACCTGACTCCCTTTCTATGAGCAATAGGAATGTCAAGGTCATCCACAACCAAAATGGGAGCTAGGGTATCAACAGGTGAAATAAAAGGTGTGAAACTTACCTCTTGGGAATCTGACGGTGTTTGGTGGCTCCACATCTTTGTCACATTGCTAATCTCTACGACGTTTACATTGGAAGACACGAAAAGGAGTAGGATCCGGAATAGAAGGTAGAGCCACAGAGAGACTTGACGGACTTGGACACGAACCTGCTTCTCCTCTTCCACATTACTCTCCTCCTGAGGAGAAGCAAGGAAGAACGGTTCAGACTCAAAGAACGAGACATCCATGGAGACAAAGAACTTATGACCCACGGAATCAAAGCACCGATAACCCTTTTGTGAGGAGGGATACCCCAAAAAGATACAAGGAATAGGCTGAGGATCCAACTTACCACGGGACGGAGATAAATCATGGACAAAAGAATGAAAACCGAACACCCTCATGGAAATGGAAAATAAAGGAGACTGAGGGATCAATAACTGATGAGGGGCCTTATAGTTTAATAATCTGGAGGGCATGTGGTTTTATGACATAAGCAGCAACAAGTATTTGGGAATATTCATATGTAGCATCATCCCTTGGGCTACCTCAAGGAGGTGTCTATTCTTTCTTTCTGCAACACCGTTTTGTTGAGGTGTTTTGGCACACGAGCTCCTATGAATGGATCCATGAGAAGCAAAGAAATCATTGAGCTGCCCATGGAAATATTCCTTCGCATTGTTTGATTGAAAGATTTGAATTTCAACATGAAATTGTGTAAGCACCATCCTCTGGAAATCTCTCACGATCTTTGGTACTTTGTCTCTGCTATGCATGGGAAATACCCATGTATAACAGGAGAAATCATCAATCAATGTGATAAAGTATTTATACCCACCCTCTGAAGTTATTGTAATAGGCTCCCACACATCAGAATACACAATATGGAAAGGAAAACTGGATCTTTTATTACTTGAATGAAATATTGTTTTACATTGCTTACTCAACTAACACGTTTGACAATGGAAATCTGACACTGAATAGGACTTAAATAAAAAAGGAAACAAGAATTTCACTATTTCAAAAGACACATGACCTAACTGATTATGCCATAAAAAAATTTGACTCTTATTTAACTGAATATGTGACTCTAAGGATGACACTGAGAAACCAGCCTTGTTGTTGAGAGTGTAGAGGCCATCCACTAAGCATCCTCGTCTTCCCAAATGTTAGATCTTGGAAAACACATGAATCAGGTAAAAAGGTCACAGTACAGTTTAATGAGTTTGTGATGCTACTAACATAAAGAAGATTGATGGGAAGCTGAGGAACATGCAAAACATTATTTAGGTTAAGTCCATGAGGGAGGGATATTGATCATTGGCCTGCAATGGAGGAGAATGATCCATCTGCAAGTCTCACCTTATCCCTTCCTGACAAAAGGTTATAAGACTGGAATATGTTTGGCTTACCGGTCATGTGATTAGATGCCCCTAAGTCAATGATCCAGGGGGAGCTGGTGGCAGTGGAGACATGAAAGGCAAAGGCTGCATTACTTGATGTAGACGTAAATGAAGTAGAAGGGTTACCAGTAGCTAAACTGTCCATTTGGCGCAAGGCCCTATCATATGATTCCAAATGACTACGAAAGGAGTTCATGGTATCTTCCTTGGGGTCAGAACTAGTGAAGTGCTCCCGAGTAGTATTTGTTGACACCCTAGTAGACTGAGTTTCTTGGGTTGCCACATTTTCTGTATTGTGTGCTATATTAGACTTCTTCTGACCCTGTGCCTTACCCTGTTCTTGGTTCTTTACAGCCCACTTTGGCCTCCCATGGATCTCCCAACATGTGTCATGTGTATGTCTTGAACGCCGGCAATGGGTACAGCATAACTTTTTTTTTATTGGAAACAGTAACTTCCATTAATTCTTTAAGAAACTTAGTACAACTGTCACCTTCAAAAAACAAGGTGACCCCTCCACAGATTACAAACAGGCCCAAAAAAGGTTCTGCCTACTAACTCCTTGCGTTGCTAAAGTATCAGCCATTGCATTGGCTGATCTCCTACTCCATTTAAACCTGACTTCAAGCTCCCTTGTTAGTTGCATAATCTCCCTTATAGGTTGTCTAAGGGACTAGGCGCCTAGGCTGTTTGTTTGCATCCAGCCTATTACCAGTTTCAAGTCTAGCTCAACTTCCAACTACTGAAAACCCAGTTGTTTTGCCAGCTTGAGCCCTTGTAGGAGTGCCAAAACTTCTGCCCTAAGAGAGTCCCCCAGTCCTATCGGGGCAGAATAAAGGGCTAGGACATTTCCTCCCCCATCTCTAAAGACACCCCCAATACCAGAGGGGCCTGGATTACCTATAGAACCGCCATCAAAGTTTAACTTAACATCCAAAGATAACGGGGGCGACCAGTCCTCTTGAATAGCTAAAGAGGGGCAGGAAGTTGCTACCGTGCTCCACCCTCTAATTAAGTCATCTACAGAGAAGTCCTTGAACAGATCCAACGATTTCATCCAATGTATGATCTTGATGGTGATCCCTTCTATGACTTCATGTGCTGATTTTTCTTTCCCTTGAAAGATTCTGTCATTTCTCTCTTCCCATACTGCCCAAATAACTGCTGCCCTTGTTGCTCTCTACATTACCCTTCCTCTTTTCTTTGACTGACGAAAAAAGCTAGATTCAAAAAGATCCACCATGCTTGTAGGAGGAACCCACCTACACCCAAAGAGAGAGGAAAGCCAATCCCAAATAAGAGTAACAAAAGGACAAGATATTATAGATGATTTACCATCTCACCACTCTTCAAGTAAAGGCTACAAACATGAGGAGATAAGAACCAATTCGGTCTTTTTTTCTGAAGCAAGTCCAAAGTGTTGATTTTTTGGAGAACCACTTCCCAACAAAAAGCCCTCACCTTTGGAGGTACAGGAGCACTCCACACTTCTTTTATAGGAAAAGAGTAAACTAAATTGGAAGATTGCACTAAAGCATTGAAGAAAGAAGAGCATGAAAAACAACCAGAGGACTCTTTAGACCAAATTCTATTATCAGGACAAGAATGATCCAAAAACACTGAATTTAGAAGGGAGAAAAGATCATCTGCCAACCCTATTTTTTACTCCCTCAACCCTCTCCTGAACCCTAAATCCCACGCCTCATTAGAAACACGAAAGGTAGAGATGACTTTAAATTTGTTCAAGGACAAGGAGTAGAGGACCGGGTACCTATCCTTAAGAGGCTGGTCCCCAACTCAAACGCCCTCCCAAAAAAGGACCTTATTACCCGAACAAGTGTCATACCTGATGAAAGGAGAAAAGGCAAGCAAGATACCAACAATGTCTTTCCACAGAGAGGAACGAGAAGCCCTTGGGTTGATACCAGCATCCCATCTATTTGCTGCCAATCCATGTATGCTTTTTCTATCACTCTATGCCACAAACTTTCTTGCTCCTTGGGAAACCTCCACAACCACTTACCTAAGAGTGCTATGTTTCTTAGACGGATATTTCCAATCCCTAAACCCCCTTTGTCTTTTGTCCTAGAGACCATTTCCCACTTCACTAGGTGATCCTTTTTTGACTCCCCAGGTTCCCAAAGGAAATCTCTCATTACTTTTTCCAACTGATTTGCCACCTTGACAGGCACTTTAAAGGTAGACAGGAAGTACACTGGCAAATTTGCTAAAGTTGACTTAATTAAAGTGATCCTGCCTCCTAAAGAGATGTAATTCCTCTTCCACCCTACTAGTCTCTTTGTGAATCTTTCCAAGATTGGGTACCAGAAACTTTCTGACTTTGGATTTCCCCCCAAGGGTAAACCCAAGTATTTTATAGGCCAATCACTTCACTCACAACCTAACAACCTAGCCAAGGAAGACACCTCCTCATCTGATCTATTAACCCCAACTACACAACTTTTATTCCAATTCACTCTCAAATTAGAGACCTTTTCAAAACCTTCTATCAACAATTTCAGATTGATCATCTCATCAGGCTCTCCCTCACAAAAGAGAATTATATCATCTGCAAATTGTAAATGAGTAACTACTACTTCTTGCCTCCCTACTCTCCACCCATGAAAAATATTTCTGGAGTCATCTCTAGAGATCATAACACTCAAAACATCCACTATTAAGGTAAAAAGGAAGGGGGAAGAGGGTCCCCTTGTCTTAGACCTCTCTTTGCAGGGAAAAAATCCCTAGCTACCCCCATTCACCAAAATAGAGTAGTGGCATGAAGTCATGCAACCTTTTACCCAACTAGACCACCTTTCTCCAAAACCTCAGTTTCTTAAAACTTCTAATAAAAAATCCCAATCTACCAAGTCATAAGCCACCTTTAATCAAGTTATCACCAAAGAAAACTTGGGAGGGTTTCATTGGAGCATCTGTTATAACTATGATCTCTGCATTTGTGGTGGGTATCATTTGTTCCTTGTTATTAGTAATCTTTTAGGTAGTCCTAAATATGAAGTGATTGGATATGAAACTTGTTGTATGCATACATGCGAAAGTTACATTTTCTTTTATAATCAAATTTTATCTTAAGAGTTTGAGGGTCTTTGGTTATTACCAGCTTCAAAAAAAGTGAGTGAAGTAGAGAGTGAAAAAATTGTGGATTCACGAGAGATGGAGAACAGGTTTGTAGAAGCTGCAAATGGAGGAAAGAGATAAAGATTGAAGCAAAAGTTTTCATTCTTGAAGAGATAAGGATTAGAGGCCAGCAGAATTTGAAGATTAGGGAGGCAAAGAGAGCTAAAATATTGCTGGAAGGTCTTGAAGTAATAGAATGGATGTAGAAGTTTGTTTCAGAAGCAAGTTATAAAGGTAAACAAATGAACTTTACGAAGTTCAACCTTGATGGAAGGAAGAGGTATGAGTTGGAAAGAAATCAACTCAAATCTAATTTGAAATCAATCGGCATGCACAGTACCAGGCAGCCTGTCAATCTGAGATGCTATTTTCTGAAATCACTACTGTGGGGCCCACTGCTRCGAGAGCAAAATTAGGGTTTCAACTGTAGGTCTGAAATAAGTGCTCAGCTGCACTCTCCAAGCAGTCCGCACAAGTGGGACTTGTCGTAGGGCAATATGAAACCCTAAAACTGATCACCTC